AGCACAGACCACTGCTACACATTGTGTGTCTGCTGGCAGTTTATTCCTTACCTGGAAGAAAAGCATGAAGGCAGATTGTGGCAAGAGTGACTTGCCAGTTAGTGTGCCCTTAGCATGCAGGGTTTTCCTTGAGTAACATTCTGTGCCCAGCTTGGGTGGCTGGCCCAGCTTTCAAGGTCTGTTGCTTTCTTGGCTTTTGCTCTCATTGTCCTCTTGCACATGGTTTATTTTACCTTCTTTTCTATCGTGCTTTTCATGTTGTCTGCCTCCTGTCTCCTCCCTTTTTAGAAAGCTGTTCACTGCCACTGTTATTCTAGGTTTTTCTCTTTACAAACTGTCATTCTCCATCTGAGAAACGTGCTGTTCCTAGCAGTCCTTCCTTCAACTGTTAAAAGCAGGCCCCCCCAAACTTCATAGTCCTTACAAAGGAAATATTTCCACTTCCTGTATAACGTAGTAGCATCAGAGATAATATCAGTGGGTAATTATCCATCTTGTAAATACCTCAATGTACACCAGAGAAAAAAGGCGGCCATATGCTCTCCAGGAGAGACTTCTCAACTATCCATCAGCCTTTTAGCAATTCAGGCTCCTCTCAGAAAACTGGTTTATTATGCACAATTGCAAAGCAAACTTTGAGAATAGAGATAAAAGCACGTTGGGAAGAAGAATATGACACATTCCCAGTCAGTGTTGCACTAGCACTGCTGAAAACTGCCCTGTAGTTACTCACACAGCATTTACATTTTAAGTCCTCACTTAAAACTGTATTTGAATAGTGAACATTAGCAGATGCAGTACTGATACTTTTAAAATCATAGCAAAATGCTTCTTTCTGTAACAGCTGGCATTCTGTACTTCTGTGATCTAGGCTATGTAGTCACTCTTAAAATGAATTCTGACTATGAAATAGAATAGGAAACACAAGCTGAGGCTTGGCTAAGAATAATTTGTTACGTAATTAGTACAACGGTAAAAATAAATCAAAACCTGTATTCTTTCAAGCATGGTAGGCATAGGGATTCTTCTCATGTGTTTCCTTTCCAACCTTTCAGATTTTTCATTTGTTTGAAAGCAGCAGTTTTCTATAAAGTCTGACGGGGAGAGAGAAGTTCTTTTGATCGGACTGCATTTACAATAGCAGCAACACTTCAGAAAATAAAATGGATAGCTCAAGGACCTGTACTGATTTTGGAGAAGGTCCTCGATAAATCGGAGATGCAAAAAAAAGATCTGGCAAGTCAAACTGTATTTTTAGGTGGTAACAGGCTTCAGAATATGAGGATGTAGAACCCTTTGATCAGAATTGCTTTTAGTGAGAAATCCTTTCTTCTGTCACTGTCTCCTTCAAGGTAAAAGATAATGTTCTCGGTGAAAGCATTTAAAAAGGCAGACTTCAAAATACTGCATATGAGTCATATATAATTCTTCCACAGTTACTGAATAGTAACTTCTGGATATTGGATCTAAAATAGTCATCTTGGAAGCTGTGCTGTGGTGTTAACCAGGTATTCTGTTTTATTTTCTGCTTCATTTTACTGCCCTTTGGAGCATATACTGACCTAGGGTAGAGTCGAGAAAACTGGAAAATAATTGTTCAAGAATCAAGAGATAGTGGCTTTCAGCTACTTAGCAGTGTTCTGTCATACATCTAAAGTTGCTGTTTTCATTTAGATCTTCAAGCTTTTATTCTACATCTATTCTCCATTTTATTGAGGAGTTCCTCATTTTTATAAATGTAGAATCACTAGGGTTTTAATTTGTACTTCAAAATTAAATAAATTTATCTTGAAGCCCTCAGAACTGGTGTTTCCTGTGGAAAAACAGTATTTCTTTCTGGATGAAATTGGGATAGCAAGCATCTGTCGAGTTTCTTTACAGAATTTTCATTGTTTTGTAGTGGGGAGAGTTTAAAACAAGTAAATGCTTTGAAAATTTGGACTTTACCATTACTGCCCTAACTTGGAGAACTGCATTATTCAGATATGATCTGATTATTCAGATAGTAACTTGCTATCCTCTTGCCGTTACAGAGTATTCTCTATGCAGCAGATCCTAATTGGTGAAGCCAATTTAACAAGTAAAGGAACATGGTTGCACTTTTCTTGTTGACTTGTCATATCCTTGCAAGAATCACTAAAATTTATTTTTTAGAGCTGATGAGTTCACTGCTCCTAGTAACATTTCAACTTACTTTCTTGGAGGGAGCTGCCCAGAAAAGCTGCTGTAGTAAATCTTCTAACATCATCACCTTGTGAGCATGGCTTTTTCATTCTCTTGAGCTAGCCTAGATGGGAAGACAACAGCAGGTGACACCGTATACCAAATGGTGGCACCCACAGCTGAGTAAGTGGCATGCTGCTGGCAAGGACAGCTCACCTTAAGACTCGTACTTTGAGATTCTAGGTTAATGCAAGAGCTGTCAGAAACCCAGTGTGTTTACAAGCTTTTCTGCAGCTGCTTGGAGGATGTTACTGTATGCTGAGAAATCTGATTGTATTCTGAATTCAGGCATGGTGATACATTACAGGAAAATTGCTCCGTCTAGGGAAGATTAATAGTTGAGCTGCTTCTTTTTGTATGTCTTGCACAAATTCTCAACGTAGAAATTGGGGATCAGCATAGATTTTTTTTTTTTCACGTGAAACAATTCTTACAATCTTGCGATGTTGTCACCTATGGATGAAACCTTGGAATGCCGCTTTAGCAATAAAAATAGCAGTACCAAGTCATTATGGTGTCTCCTTGTCTTCACTTAAATGTTATTCATTCCAGAAAGTCAAAACACTGTTGTTAAAATCCTTTCAGTGTCTTTTTGTTAAGTGTCAGTGTTTGATGGAGACTGCGTTCACCACAATGCAATAGAATTAGTAATCTCATTCCACAACTTTTGTACGTTTCCAAAATAGAGCTTTTTAGGCTTGGTTTTGGGTTTGCAGGTTTCTTTCAATTTTTTTTGTTCCCCAATCTTACTGCTCTTAGACTACAGTAATTCCATGTTTCCTTCTTAGCATATTACGAAATATGTAAAATATTGAGAGCCTTCCTACTAAGAGTAATAGCCAGATCTCATTCCAGCCCCTGCACGTTAGCAGACAATTGAAAAGTTTTTTCCTCTGAAGGATCTATCTTCTGGCCACTCTTACACCCATGTATCTAAGCTATTAAAGAAGAAAAGCTATGTTAAAACAAATTAAAACAAAAAAAAATCTTCAGATTACCATAGGAAAGTCATCTAGATGTCAGAGAACTAAGGGAAAATATTATTTGTGCAGTGGGCCACCTAAGATACTGCAAATACAGTGTGTATCTTTAAGTCATTGCAGGAACAAGTCAAATGGGAGTCCCACGTCTCTTTTTTTATGAATTTATGCATAATTACAAAAAAAATATGCAGCCTTTAATGTCACACAGAAAAAACCTCCAACCCTTGCAGCAAAGAATTTAATTTACAACGTTTTAACTGCTTGGTATGTTAATGCAATTAGCTAAGAAACACAGAATGGAGATGGTAATGGTAAGATGGCAATATTGAAGTCTATTTGAATAAAAATTTAGGTTTTTCATTAATGAAGCAACTGTTGGAAACCAAGTTTACCATTTCTGTGATTGTCAAACAAATTATGGTCATTCTCCTGGTCTATTAAAAACTGGGCTATGCTTAATCTGGATTCCAGTATCCAGTACTAGTGAACAACATTGATGATGCTCCTTGTTACAAATTTCAGAAAACAATAGGAATTCTGAGGGCTGTGTCTAATCCCTGTACCCATTGCCAGTAACCTAGCAAGCGAGCCAGTTCTCCAGTTACAATATTCATATTTTCAGAGCTTTGCTAGTATTTTTTCACATGTTGTTTATTACCTTAATTCTAGCTTTTTCTTCTGATACCCACTCTTCTGTAGCAGCTTCTTATATTGTACCCTGAGGTCTGTGGCCTTTACCCCTACTGAGATTACAGGAAAAATAAACAAGGGGTCAGAAAAAGATGTTAAGAATGGGAAAAACAACAAAAAAAGAGGTGTTAGTAAACCCAAGGGGAAAAAAAAACCAGAATACTTGGTATTTTACTGGGTAGATTAGGATTGTCTTGGATATCGGGAAAAGGGTGGTCAGTCACTGGGACAGGCTCCCCAGGGCAGTGGTCACGGCAGTAAGCCTGTCAGAGTTCAAGGAGCGTCTGGATGATGCTCTTGGTCATATGGTTTAGTTTTAGGTAATCCTGCGAGGAGCAGAGAGTGACTCGATGATCCTTATGGGTCCATTCCAACTTGAGATGTTCTATGATTCTATGTTTGACAGAGAAAGAATGCTCCAACTAGGGGTAGCAGTACAGAGAATTGAATTACAGAACCCTTCTAAATCCCTTCGAACTTTATTCTGTGTTTCAGTTAGATCTGCACACCAGTCACAGGAGATCAATGACAAATGCTGAACAGCACACCTCATTAATGTAAATATCTGAAACATTGGACACTGTCTGCAGGTGATCTGTTCAGCTGCTGGATCTGTTTGTTTTAACTAAACCCATTTCCTGGTGTTCTGAAGCAAGTTCTCTCCTCTCTCCTTAAATCATAGAATCATAGAATCATTAAGGTTGGAAAAGACCTCTAAGATCATCAAGTCCAACCGTTAACCCAACACCACCATGCCCATTAAACCATGTCCCTAAGCGCCTCATCTACACGTCTTTTAAATGCTTCCAGGGATGGTGACTCAACCACTTCCCTGGGCAGCCTGTTCCAAGGCCTGACCACTCTTTCAGTAAAGATGTTTTTCCTAATGTCCAGTCACCCTCAATACTTCCTCAAAATAAATTCTAACTGCTCCTAATTTGTTTGCTTTCTGTTTAGGCATACTGCATGCGGTGGGTGCTATATAAAATCAAATTAAGTTATATACATTATCACCCATGTGATTCCCATAATAAATTGTTCCCCCTTTGTTTCACGCATTCAGGTTATGTAGCCCCATGGAATTATTCAGACTTTCATCCAGCAGTGAAGTTTCAGTACTTTATTTTGAAAGTCTCTTAATAGGTAGTTTAAAACAAGTGAACAAATTAAATGTAAAGTGTTGTTTATTAAATAACTCAAAAGGTAAAGCAAATTCTTCAATTAAGAACAACAACATCATGGTTCCAAAGGATTTTTACAGCAGAAAACAAATTGCGGCAAATGAGCATTTCAGTCTAGCAGCCAAATTGTCCTCAGTTTTATGGAGTTAATTTCGGTCCTCAAATTGTGACTTGTTTTTTAAAAGATACGCTGCTAGAAATTCAATGGGATTTGGCGGTCTGTAAAGAAAAAAGTAAATCAAAAGCAATTATTTTTTGTTATATGAAATTCGATAGCTGAAGAACTAATCTCCTTCCCTTAAAAGCAACATAATTCCTCCCAAACACTTACAAGCATTGATTTAGGGATGACCAACTATTTAGAGTTACCCTGTAAATTTCCAGTTTATGTCTGATGAGAAAGTTTTTAATAAGGAGTCTTAGTCACCCTTGGTTCAATGTTACTAAATTGCTAGAAGAGTTACATACCTAGAAATAGGGTATAGTCTGTAAGCATAAATACTGTATGTACATCATTGGCATCAATGAATTTGCCTATTTATTTAACTCATGCTATATAAAGAAAAAGTTAATCTGTCAGTGCTTTCTTGCTTCATTTTCTTCAAATGGTTATTGTGTAGCTTTGTGCATTAGAGCCGTTTTCATGGTTTCTGGGAACTGAAACGAACACAACAAAACGTCAACAAAAACTTCAAGTTTGAGAAGTGCTGTAACTTGCACATAGTCAATAATAAACACTTTTGATCACTGGCCTTAGCCCATAGGTTTTTTTTAAAAAGCTCCTCCAGCTGCAGTGCGTGAATCCTGCTAATCTGGATTCTGTCTGCAGAATAAATTACAAACTTACTTATTCCACACTGGGTCAGACCAAAGGTCTGGCGGTGAGCAAATATGCCTATAAAGAGCATAAAAAAATGGAAGTAGTCCACAAAGATACTTCTCTGGACCTTCCTTTTGGCTTCCAAGCATGTACCAGCTTTCTGAGCTAGCACCTTTAATAGTCCTGGGTGGATTCCTCTACAACTTTGTCCAGTTGCTCCTTGAGCCCAAATAAAATGTTAACGTCCTCAACCTGAGGCACAAAATTATATAACTTAATTATGTGACCTGTGAAGGATCACATCCTTGTGTTCATTACAAATTTGCTACCTGATTGGCTTAATTTGATTACTATATCAAAGAGATAATAAACAATCCATCCCAATTCATCATCTCTATGCTATTCGTGATATAACAGATTCCTAATATATTCTCTCACAGAAGTCTCTTTTCTAGGTATCATCTATTCAGTCACCCCGTATACAGATAGCGTTCCGTACTTCTGACCACCTTGTCACACTTTTTACTTTTTCACATTTTACCAGAATACAGGGGAATTGGAATTACACACAATATTAAAAATACAAGAACATTATAAATTTAAATAGTGACATTATGCTTGTTTTTACCCCTTCAATTTCTAAGTCCTACCATTCAGAATCTATTTTTGATTGAGCAATGCACTGACCTATACGTTTAACAGTTTAAAGATATTTTTTCACAAGGGTAATTGTCAACTCAGAATCTATAATTTTGTCACTAGCATTGGGGTATTTATTACCCTCCTAGGTGCATCATTTTCTGTTTACTTGTATTCAATCTTTCACTTTTTGTCATAGTTTCAATTTTTCATAGCAGTCTTCCATAGTTTCACATCGAGTTTATGAAGCTCCTGTGCAATTATTTACAACTGATCAAATTAAAAAAAAAAAACCCCAAACAAAAAAAAACACCAAGCAGAAAACAAAGCACAAAAAACCCCAACCTATTCTGTAAAACTCAGTATCATTAACAAATTTTGTCAGCCATGTCTTCAAATCGTTATAAATGATCCTTTCCAGGATTCTAGTGTTGAGCTCATTTCACCATGAAAATTCACCATTTACTTCTACTCTGTCTCATATCTTCCAATCCTCGTCTATGTAAAGGCTTCTTCTTTAATCCCACAGCAACTAACTCTCTTTAAAATCTTTTAGTGAATGACTGTGCCAGAAACCTTTTGGAAATTTAAACAGACTGTATCATCTGGATTCCTGTTTATGTGTGCTCACTGACTCCTTCAGTGAACTCCAAAAGACCTGACAAAAGTGGTGTTGACTCTTCCCAAATATGTCATTTATCCATATCCTCACTATCCTAATTTCTACTGAATTCCAGGCACAGTCATCAGATGTACTGGGCTGTTCCTGAACATCTCTATCTTCCTTAGAAAAAGAAATTAGCATTGATTAGTTACTTTCCAGTGCAATTTTAAGCAGAAGATTACACAGCAGAGCTGGTAGTTCTGCTTTTTCACCCCTGAGGTTTTAATATGCTCAACTAAATAGCCAATTTGACCGTGGCAGTTTGATACTGTTAGGTTTTTTCCCTATACGTTCCCCAACCTCTTCTATGAACGTTCCAATTTCACTCCTGTGATTAGTCCCCATAAAGAACAGCTCCTTCCATAGTAAAGAAAGATTAAAAAATAAAAAAAATTTGTCTGTAACACAAGTATCCAGACTGTAAGTGTGGGGTGTCCACTTCAGGCTGTGTTTTACATTCGGTCTGCAGCAGAACTCCCATAGATGTCAACTGAAGATCAGCATGCTGCTCAGGTGTACACATGGGGTGTACCTTCCTAGATGCGCTTTTGCCTAATTAGCTGTCTGTACAATGCAGTTCAAATTCACAACTTCTTTTGAGTTTAAGACACTGTTGATGGTTGTTCTGGCTGTAGGTACCATGATGCGATTATGGTCATCCATACCAGCTTTTGATAATGTTGTTTCGGCAAAACTGAGAAATGGTTACATGCCATATAACTCGCCAATAGTTCAGATACACCAAAAGGCTAGAAATTCATTTGGATAAGATGAACAACTGCTTGCTATTATTGAAGAATATCCTTCTACATTGACTGATAAGAGATTTGGGGCACCTTGACAGCATAATCTTTACTCAAAGGATAAACTATCAGTTTGCTTCTTACTGTGTTGACAGTGCAGGGTCAGCCTCATCCTTTACATAAAGTGTTTTAATCTCCGACAAAGATGCATGTCAGGCCCGATTTATCTGTCTGTCTGTCTTTTAAATGGCAGGCAGAACTCTTTATAATTACACACTACAAAATCTTGTTCAAAAATCTTGTTCAAAACTAGAACAACTTCTTGCCTTGCTTCTATAAGGTGAATTATGCGATAAAATTAATAAGAAAATACATTTTTCCCTCCAAACCCTTTGCAATGGCATACCTCATTGAAAGATCACAAATTCAGTAACTAACTCTTATCACTTAAGTGAGGAACACTTGCATGGTCAATCATAGTAACTCATAGGTTCACAAACGTGTTATAATGACTTTCTTACAACTAGCAAAACCATGTCTGGTGTGTGAGGTCTGAAAAGGTGACATACCACCCAAGCTTCAGACCTACTTTTTTTCCTAAAAACAGAAGGAACATTGAAGCATCTTACCTTTCTTTTGCAAGAACAGCAAGTCCCTGTAGCAAGATAGGTACAACTGTCTGATCCAAGTAGGCACGCGTGGGTAACGACTGAAGATCCACCTTCTGCTTTGATGTTTTCTCTGCATTTATTTTCTCATTTTCTACTATCCTCTGAAGTAGAAGAAAAAAGTGAATGAACATTGGTAATAGCAGCCACATCTGCTTTGAAGTGTGACTGCAAAGCACCCATCTCTCTGCAATTCATTAGCAATAACTTCTTTACATCTTTTAAGAAAATTTAAATGCATATTTTTCCTTGCACAAAAACCTAATCCAGAGGAGCCTTCTGTTAAGTTCTCATGTTTTGGGGAAACAATGTTAGGAAGTCGTAAGTTTTCTAAAACAGAAGACACCCAATCTCTATCATTTTTATTTCTGCTTTTGCATTCACAGATTTAAATTCTACACCACTGAGACAGGAATGACTACTAACAAGAGCGGTCTCAATGAAATGGTTCCTGCATGCAGGCACTTCTAACACAAAATGCTAAAAGCACAAGAAATTCAGGTGAAGCCTGACAAAGGGTACTCTGTTAAAGTCAAGCACTTTGAGACCATACTTTATTAAAGTATAGATGGACACTTTAAAGAAAACATATGCAAAATGCTTCCAGGTGCCTTTTGGTCAAAAAGTGCTGAATCATCTTACACCATTAACTGTAGTTAAAAAAGGATACCCTACCACTGCCAGTAAACCAAACATATTCAATGCAACATACACACATCTACTGATATAGGACCAACGTATCCAACGTGTTATGGTTCTGTAGTGGAAGTTGAGGCATACAGACAAGCAATTACCAGGGAGATGAGTCACAAAGGACATTTAAGAAAAGCTGCTGCGAAAGTTTAGCATACAGTAGGAGCTTATAATGGAGGGAGACTGAAGGCATTTCTTTAATAAGGAATAGTAAATAAATGTCATAGAGTTATTATTCTAACCCACACTGTTACCAACAGCGGAGAGAATGGATTGTGTCTACTCTTTCTCAGCCTAAGTGATTAAAGACAGCTTGGATTATTCCGATCCCATATTTCTATTGACAAGAATATGAAAAGAATCCCTCCCTTTGATACTTCCATAGAAAAGCCATCAACTCCTCCTGTTCCCCTCCCTGTAATAAAAGTCTGTCTGGCTTTTTGTGGCATGATATATTATATAGATATACATAACAGACAGCAATAGAATAGATAATGATCATAGGATACTTCCAAAAAACCCCACCTCATTAAAAGGTTCATTATTTACTTCAGTACCATTTAGTATAGCGGAAGCGACACAACAGAAAATATTAACAGCCAGTTATGCAAGGGACTAGTTATCTGTTGGCTCAGTTTCCACCTAACTTTCTTGGGAACATGATGTTTGCTGAAGTAAGACTCAAGACTCAACATTCTTCCCCTTGATGAGGAATGTGACCTCCACTGTACTTCACAGCAACAAAATCTTTGTTACCTCTACGTTTTCAGTGAGACCGTATTCAGAATGGGGATTTTCTGGAACCTGTAAAATAGCACATGGTCAGCAAAGTGAAAATGCTCCTTCTATGCATGTAGCATTATGCACATAAAACACTTCTTGCAATACCTGCGGCTGTCCCTCCATAATCTGTTCTGCCTCCATGACTTGGAAAGCGGAATTTGCTGGGCGTACAGTAATCTTGGAAAGCAACAGAAAAACTGGTCAGCAGGCTGAGACGAAGACCAGCGTCAGCTGACTCATATTGCATCACTTGGTTACTAAGGCACGATTACTAGCGAGCAAACGGAGTTGCTCTGTGCTCCCCCGCCAAACTTGTACGCGTTTTTCCCGCACACAGAACTGAGACGTGTCTTAAGGCTCGCGTTACGTCCGCTGAAGAAAACGGCATCGGGATTAGAAAATAGGGCGTTCGTCATTTAAAACAAGAGTCCCCAGCGACGGCCAGCTCCCCGGCCCGGCCGGGAGCGCCCGCGGGAAGGCGGAGACACCCCTCTTCCCTCCCTCCCTCCCTGCCCCGCACGCC